GATCCGCCATCTTGTTGCGATTGACGATTGTTGCCTATTTTTCATGTTTTGTATGGTATCGTTACTTTAATTCAGAAAAGCCCTATCTCACATCGCCGCTGAAATACAAAAACCGTAACTAACTAAAATTCCAGAATTTACGTTTTGTTTGATTATGATGCATTTCATCGAAATATAAGTCCATCGCATCGTTTTATGCATTAACAATTTTAGTTATCTCGTTAAAGCGTTTTTACACTTCAGCGATGATGTGGGATAGGGTCTTTCTATATTAAGATAACGATATGTATGTATGTGTATCGGGTAAATTCACTGACAATGACGAGAGGGCCTTTCTTTTCATCAAAATTAGTCCATGCCTGTATGAAATGATATTTCCAAGAGAAGTTGCCAAGCAGTTTTTACTAATTTTAAATTACTGATAACTTTTTGCGCTAATATACATATGTACATAGCCGCACGTAAAAACGCAGTATATGTATTATGTACTGCGCGCATTATTTTTTTTTTTTTAGTTCATGTAAACACTCATTTTAACGCACGACATTCGAGTTTTTTCAATTTGACACGCTTATTTTAATAAAAACTTTCTTCTTTTCGATTGCAGATTTTGAATCTTCAGCAAATTTGGTATAGTGTGCAAATTATCTATAGATAATATTGAATTTTTTACAAAATTTGGAGTCAATACATAGCCTATACAACAAGGCGTTGATACACAGTATGACCAAAGAATAAGATACGGCTATCAACAAGGATCAACTGTGACAACTTTAACTATTTGCAGTTTTGCAAACTTTGAATGTGATAATTGCTTCATAGAACTTTAGAAACTTAGAACATACATATATTACTCGTACTAGTTTAAGAGATTCCCAGCTAAAATGAACAGCACCGGCTATTACTTCGACGAACAACTTGTCCAAATTTACACTCATTTAGTGCACAACTATGTGCCAGACTTTATACTAACGATGGGAAAGGACTTCGAGTATACGCCGTGGATATTTTCATTATTGGGGTCCGTCGTGATAGGTTTAAGTGGAATATTACCTTTACTCATAATACCTACAGGCGAAAAGCTCAAGGAAGGCGGTTATAAAGATCGTAAGTAAATTGAGAAAGTGCCTTACATATTGCCACTTAACTAAGAACTTGCATACATCATACATACATACATATCGCTAACTTAGAGTGAAAAGTTTTTATGAAAACCCATATTTTGATATAGGAAGCAAGGGTAATAAAAATGCATCGTTTCGAAAAGGATTAATGTAGTTGTTTTATTTGTTTCTTGTTTAAATTCAATGAAATGCAACTTTGCTAAGTTCGAAAGAGGTACCGAGAATCCGACAAAACCGAAATAATACGAAATCTTTTAATAACTATAGAATCCTTATTCATATGCAGGTTTTGCTTTGCTTTAAATTTGTGAAATACTTGAATGGAATGGCTGCAAAAAGTTTTTTTCCTCTCCTGTAAAATTGAAAAAAATTAACTTAGCAGATTTGCGCTCTAAGTTAGCGATATGTATGTATGCATGTCCACAGATAGAAAGATAAGTGTTTAATTTTAAAAAACTTCTGCTTGGATCATTATCAACTTACTACTTTTGCAGCTGCCGAATCCAAATTCCTTAAGGTGCTGCTAAGTTTTGCTGTCGGCGGCCTTTTAGGTGATGTTTTCCTGCATCTGTTGCCTGAAGCTTGGGAAGGCGAACAACAAAGTAGGCAAATATAATCTACTTTTAAGATAATTTATATATTTGGTTAGTATTTTAATTAATTTTCACTTACCTACCTATCATAATTTCAGCTCCCACTGAGCATCCTTCATTACGCTCAGGGCTTTGGGTTTTATCGGGAATACTTATTTTTACCATTGTTGAGAAAATATTCTCTGGTTACACCAATGCGGATGAGGAAAACCCACAGCCGAAGTGTGTAGAAATCGCAAATTGTTTACTTCGCAAAACGGGTGGAAAGATACCAGAGGGTAAAACTAGCTCTGAGGGCTGTGCGAGATCATGCGACATCGAAGAAGTACCTAATGGTTGTTTCCTGCGCGAGCGCGAACAAAAACAAAAAGAACAACCAAAGAAAGTAGCAGGCTACTTAAATTTAATGGCCAACTCCATTGATAATTTCACACATGGATTGGCAGTTGCGGGTTCATTTTTGGTATCTTTTCGACATGGTGTACTGGCAACATTTGCGATTTTATGTAAGTCAGAATTCTAGATAGAAGATTTTTTATTGTTCCTACTCTTGTAATTATTAACGTTTAATTTCTATAGTACATGAGATACCACATGAAGTTGGTGATTTCGCCATTCTCTTGCGTTCCGGTTTTAGTCGGTGGGATGCTGCCCGCGCTCAACTATTGACCGCTAGCGCCGGTCTTATGGGCGCCTTAGTGGCAATTGGTGGGTCGGGGGTGACATCGGCAATGGGTAAGCACGACTCTGTTTTTCATTGTCGTTCTTTAATAGAAAATTTGAAATTTCAGAGGCACGCACATCGTGGATTACGCCTTTCACGGCTGGAGGATTTCTACATATATCACTGGTTACTGTTCTGCCAGATCTGTTGAAAGAGGAAGGGAAGATGGAATCCATGAAACAATTGCTAGCGCTAATTTTTGGTATTTTGCTAATGGCTTTCATGACGGCATTTTTTGAATCATGAAGACATTGCGGATTGAGATTTTTTTATGTACATATATATACAAATTATGAAACGTCTACGAACTGGTGCTTACAATAGTTTGTATGGATGTATTTATGTAGAACGCAAAGAAGCAAGTAATGTTTGTAATTGCAAAACGCCAAGGCAAAAGTACAAAAACCAACCGCTTGTCGAACACTTGGCATTATGTGACATTTGTGAGAAATCTATTACAGATAACTAAACACAAGAAATAAGCGATTAAGCACATTCAGTAGTTGCCAAATTTGGACAAATCTGATTTGAATTATTAACACAGAAGCAAAATTATTATGTACAGAAATGGTATTAAAAAGTTATAAAAAAATTTAATATTTAATTTTTCTTTTATATTAGTATGTATTTTTCTAAGGTTTCGCCATATATTTTTAGTTACATACTACATCAGTTAATGCAAAATATTATGAAAAAAGCATTTTCCGTTGTTCAACCTACAGTGGTTTAGTTAACGACCCACACTTTTATATTAGTGAGTTTTATATTTTAAATTATGTATGTTTAGGTTTCTAAA